CAAATTGAAATCTAATTAATTTGGAGACCTCAAATTAAGGAGCTAAATTAGGAAAGTATCAAAGCTTCATGAGAGTTTTGAATTTCAAATTCAAAACTCTAAGAGGGGTCGGCGGGTGGAGTGGTGGGGAAGGAAAATTGGGGAAGAGGGGGCGGCGGCTTGAACAAATTTTCAGGTGGCGGCGGCCTGGGCGGCCCGGGTGGCCCAAGGTGGCCGGCGGCAAGGGGCTTGGGGAAGAGGAAGGCGGCGGCCAGAGAATTGGGGAGAAAGCTTGGAGTAATTCAAAGGGGATTCAAACCTCATGTATCTCCTCCCATTCCACTCTCCACAATTGCTTCAATACAATATCCACGACGACGAATCGAACACGAGAAATAAAGAACGATCATTAGTAGAACAAGAAAACCTAGAACTCACAAAGAGATCTAGCTTCTCCTACGAACTCACTAAGAGATCGTGGAGGTTTGCACTCACAAAGAGAACGTGAAATATCAAATTTTCATTCATCAAAAACTAACTATTACATGAGAAAATGGCCATATAAATAGGCCTCAAAATGACAAAGAAAGTAAAATACTAAAATGCCCTTTGGGCTACAATAGCTATCAAATACCCATAAAGGCAAAAACGGAAAAACATAAAATAAAAATAAATTACTACATAAAATGATGAAAATACAGATCATGATCATGGCCGTCGATCTCCGGCATCTCCTGGAGGTACATGTGTCGAAATCGCTGCTGATGTCCCCATCACTCTCGTTCCAGGCTAAGGAAATGATAGGGGATGGCTTAGGGATGTTTGAGTATTTAAAAAAAGGAGTTAGTGGATTATTATATTAAAAATGACAATTTTTTGAATTAGTGCCACAATGCTCCAAATCGCAGCACCGCAACGGTCCCCTTAATTACTTCAAACCCGAGAAGCTAGTGCAGCTACGTTCTCAAAGCATAGTGTTGTAGCGCTCCCAAGCAGATTTTCATGCATGTAATAATTTTCATGGGGATTATTTACGGGTCTTTAATATTTTTTTTACAGGTCATTAATAATTATTTTTTCATGTAAGAATTTGGGTTATTACATTTTGAGAGTTATTAGTCTCCTCTTCATTAACATTCAACACATATATCCATCGGTCCTCGAGTACCTCTATTAGAAGAAAACAAATGGCTTATACTTCTTGATGCATCATGTTGGGAACCAAAATACAAGCTATTCTCAATCATCTTCTCCATATTTCTTTGTGTTGCTTCTTTGATGGCAGCAAATTTCTTCAAATAATCAATACATTCTTATTTTACTTCATCAGGCACATTTGCACATTTTCCAACATTAACATATGTGTAAGCCAAGCGATCCTTAAGTCTCTTGACTTTGACATATCTTATAACACCTCTAATAATCCACTTCTCAAAAAAATTGCATTTCATGTAAACATAATCCTTCTTCGCAACTTCACATTGCACTTCAACTTTAGTGTCATATGTACAAGCTTGATCTTTTCTTCTTGCGCCATAACCATTGTAATAAATCAAAGAAATCAACAATAACAACATCGAATGAATAAATAATGATCTCCGCAAAACATGTTTGCAACCACTCTTGATAAGATAGTCCAAATAAGATGGAATAGGGCAAGGAAGCAAGTAAATTTCTATAAGATAATCCAAGCATATCTATAATGAAGAGCTGCAAACACTACAAATTTCAGGAAATCTTAATGCTATGGTACACAATGAATGTAAATGAAATCACCATATAAAAAGGAGATTTGCTCATATCTCTAACTTTCTTATCACATGATGGTAGATTCAATACAAATTAGATTTAAATTATTAAATCACAACTTTCTTATCACATGAGCAAATTTAAGTATGATTTAGCTTTAGCCTAAATCTTGCTAAACAACATAAATGATAATTTTAAATCTTATTGAAACTTAATTCGTATTCTTTCTTTATGGTATTTGAGCAAGATTTAAGCACGATTTATCCTAAATCCCGCCAAGCAGTAAAAATGACAACTTTAAATCCTATGGGAACTTAAATCCCTTCCTTCTTTTAAGGGATTTGAGCAAGATTTAAGCATGATTTAACCTAAATCCTTCCAAATAGCAAAAATGAGAACCTTTTATCCTTCATAAACTTAAATTGTGCTCCTTCTCTATTTTGCTTTAACATAATTTAGGCGAAGAGGCACTTGAAATGGAAGAAAGATTGTTACCTTCACTGCAAGCTCCCATTGTAACTTCTAATATGGTAGGAAGGTTGTTGGCGAAGGAGGTGAAGAAGCTTCCTTGAACGACTCTTCCAAAACTCCACTTCTCGCAAACAAGGCGAAGTCAAAGCAGCAATTAGGAAACTTGGATGCTTGCGTGCTAGAGACAAGCTTGACGCCTCGTGTGCTAGAGACCGGCTTGAAGAAGTATTCTTGCACAACCTGTCTTTTTCGAGACCTAAAAATTGCTCCTCACATGCATGTGGGTGGGGAGGGTAGGGTAATATAGAAAATAATATAAAAAGAAAGCTAAATTAAATCAACCCTTTTTGAGGCGACACCTCAAAATACCTCGAGGCATACGCCTCGTATGAAAAAAGCTTAAGCCTCTCCAAGCTTGAGGCACACGCCTCGAATGCTTTTTTAAACCATGGTAATTAAACAACAGCTCATATTGGCTAAACATGGTAGTGCTATATCATTCTGAAGTTAATTAGCAAACTATTAGGGTGGCGGATTTGCATATTATGCATTGTTGTGTTGTGTTTTGTTATTTATGCTATTGAGCAAGCAAATAGTTTTTTAATAAGTGTTGTAGATTTTTGGTAAAAAATTGCTTATTCATTGAATCATGAAATAATAATTATGGTGAACTTATAATAATAATGATAGTATTATTTTTTTAGTAAATTGAATAATTAAAATTTATAAAACACCTTTTCTTGGGAAGCCTCTGCTTTTCTGCTTTAACAAAATTGAACATCTTAAGATTGATTATGATGTTTAATGAGGCATAAGAAGGTAGTAGAAACCGGAAGCAGAAATTATATCATCAAACTGATCCTAATGGTGCTTCTCAAATAATCAGAAATTGATATTTTGTAGGGAGAGCAATCCTCTCAAAATTTAAGCTTTAATACAATATAATTTAATAATTAGATTTATTGAAAAATCGGATTCATGGTGTATAGAACTTAAGATTTAGTAATATTTGTTTTTAATTAATATTCAGATGCTTTCTACATTTACAAGGATGCTATGTTTATTCAATCTCGTGGAACTTTATAATTGAATTTCATTTCATGTTAAGATGACCACTACAATAATAATAATAATAATAATAATTTGTGTGTATTATTAAGAATATTGAACTTCTTTAGATTTTTTGAACTAGTCTGCAAGCATTAACTAATTCTTTTGGTTACATGGTGGCCTGCTTACATACCTGTCTGCAATTAATACCTGGCCTTCCCACGCTACAGCTTTTTATAGCCTGGGTTATTTTATTGTATTGCCTTGTTAATGATCCATAATTTTACTTGCTGGAATACCGTTATTTACAAGTTTTTTTCTAAGATATATATTCATGGTACGCTTATTTTTTGAAAATTCTTTATATTATGATCAAATGATTGATATTATGTGCACTGAATTTCTTGTTATCAAAAGTCGAATGACGATTGGGAAGATGATTGAGCTCCTGGGTAGTAAAGCTGCTGTATCAAGTGGCAGGTTTCACTATGGCAGTGCCTTTGGGGAGCCAAGTGGTCATGCTGATAAAGTTGAAGACATCAGGTAATCTCATATTCTCATCCATCACGTGCGGTTCTCATGCTCTGTCAAATCATGATTTTTCCCTTATTACTGCTGTTGCCCATGCCAGTCGCACTCTTGTGAAGCATGGATTTAACTATAGTGGAAAGGATCTTCTCTACTCAGGTTGGTTTATAATTTAAATTTATAATTAATGTGCATGAGCTGGAGAGTATTATAGCTCTTTTTCATTAAATTTTGTAATCAAGTTAAAGAAAACTCAGTAATCTACATGATTAGATAACAAATGTATATGAACGCAAATACATTTTTATATTTTGCCTTCTTCCTCTATGCAAGCAATATATCAAAAACTGATTAGTAATAACTTTTTCATTTGTAAGCTAATTGAACAAAAAAAAAAACATCTTTCACCTAGCATAGGTTTCCTTTGATGCTAAAAAATTGTGCCAAGTAGGTGGCCTCGAACTATTAGAACACCTTGTCTTCCAGGAAATCTAACAAATTCGTCTAACTGCCTTTGCCTGTCAAAATGCTTTTTGTTAATCGAGTGATTTATTATATGGAGGGTCTGCTCTTGCAATTTGACAAAATTTTTTCAGTAGTCTCTTTCAAACCAAATAAATTTTATTTCATGAATTTCAGACTGGTCAAACTAAAATTTCAATTATAATGCTTAGAAGCATGATACTGAAGACCAGACGTAGTACAATAAAGTTTGATGTTGTCATTATATCATGTTAGATGCAGACCTTTACTTGGGGCTTTATGATGCGGACATCGGTACGAAGATTTGGCGCATCTATCACAGGCGGCGTCATAAATCGACGGCCATTATTTAAATTTTCAATTATGAGTTATTTTCTGCATTTTAATTCTTTTTTGATGTATTTTCTGTTTTACCCCTAGGATAGCTTATTTGAGTGTTGTGGCCCAAGGGACAATTTTGTAATTTTGATTTTTCTCATGTTGTGGCCTATATATAGGGCCTTAAGCTATTGTAATAGGGATGAAGAATTGATATTAAAAATTTGTGTCCACACTTGTGTTCTTGTGAGAGAGCGTTAGTGAGATTAGGAATCGGAGTTTTCACTAGCCACATGATGGGTCCGGGCTCGTGAATTGAAGTCCCTTGGAGAAGGGCAAAGAATCACCCGTCAGTCTTTGGAAGAGTCCAAGGCTCGTGGTTCTTGTCTTATATCTTTCGTTTTATCTTTGTTTTTGTTTTGTTTCTTTTATTGTTCCCCGTAGTCGTATTCATCTTGTCATCTTTCCTCCTCCCCGCTCAATCCCTTGGCCAAACCTCCATACCAAGCTCCACGAATTTTCCGCATAGCCGCCGGCCACCTTCCCCCATTAGCTCCTCCACCGCCGGCCACCCTTGTTTGTCTCCATGAATGAGGAGTCAATGTCATCTTAAAGCTTACCTAAAGAGTTCAAATAATTTAGGAAATTATTTTCATCCATTGAAATTCAAATTTTGAATTTCAATTAATTTCCTAAGTTAGAAAGCTATTTTAGGAAAGTATTGAATCTTATTCATGATGTAATTCAATTTAATTTGGGTGATTTAATTTTGGGCGGTTTTCAAATTTCAAATTCAACTAATTTGAAATTTGAAATCTTTCCTAATTTGTCATTCCATTTTTGGAAAGTTTTAAATGACTTATATTTGAATTTCAAATTCAAATAGGATTGAATTATTTCTTTCATAAACGCCAAACCCAAATTAAGTATTCACAATCTAATGCATTAAAACCCCTATTCCCCCTTGCATGCCGCCGGCCCACCTCACCTCCACCTTGGCATTCACTCATATTTATTTCCTTTTCTCCCTATTTGCTCCAGCTAAAATATTCAAAAGGATCAATTTGAACTTTCAATTCAACTTGGATTTAATACCATGCTTTCCTAATTCCAATTTCCAAATCAATTTGCCTTAAGTTACATCTCCCGTAACTCCTCAATTAATTCCCTCATCTAAGGAATTAATTAAGGAATTCCAAATCCTTCCCTAACTCCTCCCCTCACCCCCTTATTCCAGCTGGCCCCCTCTCTCCCATGAGATTTTAAGTTGAATTAATTCCCAAGTCTTCCATCAAAGATTTAGGAAATAATTCAAATTCCCTCAAATCCCTCCTACCCGAAATTCTCCTCTGCCATATCCAGCCAATTATTTTCCTAAATCTAGGGAAATTAATTTGGGATTTTAAATTCCCCTCTCAGCTACCCGCCGCCTCCCCTTTCTCTCCCTCTCTCCCATTTCACGTGTAATTGCTACTGTAACTCTTGGTTCCAATTCACAATTCATACTACTTGAATCTGAGATTTATCTCTCAGGTTTTGAATAAAAACCTAAAGAAAATTTCAGATTTTGTGAGACATTTGGAGTTTGTCCATCTTCCATAGCAAAGCCTAACCCGTTCTACATCAGTTTGGTATCAGAGCATGGACTCGGATCAACTTGGACGGACTTTAGATTGGTTGGTAGTTCAACTGGGTGTCGTTAGTCAACATCTCAAGGAGGATCAAGCGGACTTAGCCGACCTCCACCGTCAAACAATCGAACGATTCGACAACCTAGAGCGAGGTAGAACTAACCCATCGCTTTACACACCTGCAAGATCCCCTTCCTCAAAGGATAGAAAAAGGGCACTAAGAGACAGAGATAAGAGATAGAGTGGACAAATGGATGGAGGCCAATGAAGCTTTCAATTTCTCAATCACTATGCAAATCAAAGAGGAATATAAGGCGATCAAGCAAGAACATGAAGAAGAAGATGATTTGGTTGACAAGGAGGAATGCGTGACTTCAAATAATACAGAGGGAGATTTGGTTGATTCAATTGCAACTCCTACAGAATCAAAGGTTTCTCCTGACCCAGTTAAAACTCCTATAACGGAGAATGTGGATGAAGCTCTAGAAGTAACATCCATAATTGGCGAGCTAAAGTGTAACAAGCAAGTTGACCTTGTGGGCAACCGGGGCTGTTTGAAAATCGTTGCAAAAAGGCCATTTGGTTTAGTGCTTCCAAATAACAATCCAGAGTTAGTACATGAGCAGTTGTGATGCTTACTCGACGGAGTCGAGTATTCTCCCACATAGGGAGAATGATGCGGACATCGGTACGAAGATTTGACGCATCTATCATAGGCGGTGTCGTAAATCGATGGCCATTATTTAAATTTTCAATTATGAGTTATTTTCTGCATTTTAATTCTTATTTGATGTATTTCCTGTTTTTTCCCCTAGGATAGCTTATTTGAGTGTTGTGGCCCAAGGGGTAATTTTGTAATTTTGATTTTTCTCATGTTGTGGCCTATATATAGGGCCTTAAGCTATTGTAATAGGGATGAAGAATTGATATTATAAATTTGTGTCCACACTTGCCCCTAATTATTTTTATTTCCGGAATTGTTTTAAGTAAGGGCAATTTGGTCATCTGTAAATCCCCTTTCTCCCTTATTTTCCTCTACCCGAACCCTCCCCCTCTCATTTCTCTCGCACGAAACGAACCGAACGGAAGAAAAGGGGCGGACGGACGGGTTCCGCGAGGGCTCTCCGGCGACGATCTTCTGGTGAGAAATTTAGTTCAAATCGAAGAGGACGACGAGAGGAACACTCAGGTATGATTATTTTAGAACGAAACTTTCTCGATCTTTAGATTTTTGGAAAAGGAATTCTAGGGTTTTCCTAAAAAAATGTTTTTCTCCCAATATATCTTTAAGAAATGTTTAGAGGATTATTTTAGCAATGAAAAAGAAGTGAATTGAGGAATTTTTTGGAGATTTATAAGTTAAGGTTTTTACTAAAACTTTAAATTCCTTAATGATGTTCTTACATAAATTATTCCTAAGGATATTATGAATGCTTTTAAAGCATGAATTTGGATTTTTAGGAAAATTTTATTTTTGTAATTTTCCTAATTATTTTAATCCGAAATTTTAATTTATAATTATAATTATATATTGAGGATTAATTTTAGAGCAATGTTTTGATGAAATTAAATATTTATTACTTTCCAAAAACTAAATATTTATTAAATCCGAAAATTAAGGTTTATTTAATTAAATATTCATTAAATGTCGTAAGGAATTGTTAAGGGAAAATGTCGGGTTTAGCAATTAGACTTAGATTTAGCCTTAAGCCTTAATGAAGTTTGGATTTGTGTCACGTTTGTTTTATTCTTAGGTTGTGGTCGTTGAAGTGTAAGGTGTAAGAATTGTGTCGAAGCGATATACTGTGCTTAAGAGAGATAGGTGTTCATACCTCATTTAAATTTATAAGTGCTTAAAAATTTTTATGCTTAAATGAAATTTCATGTATTTATTTTATCATTAATTAATGTTTTAGATTCAATGATACTGCAAGTTCATGCTTTTATATTATGCATTAATTGTTGGAAAACATATGATTCATATGAAAAATATTTGAGCATGAAAATATATGAGGCTTATGAAAGGAAATTGAACATAAATGAAAAGATTTAAATTGGATAAAATTTCATGCTGCATGTTGATCCGGAAGTGTCAAAATGGTAATGGTAAAGGGGCTTACAAAAGTCAAATGGTAATGAGGCTTGTAAAAGCCAAATGGTAAAGGAAATGACCAAAATTTGACTGCGTATCTGATCAATACGAATAAGGGTACTTCCGGGACGGGTGTTACATTTAGTATAAACATTTTTGCCTTTGCATTGCATATGAAAAAGGTGAAATGAAAGAATGAAAAGAATGAAATGTTAAAGAAAGGAAAAAAGGAAAGTAAGAATGGAAATTCAAATGTTTTTTTATTTGCTAATGTTATGAAATGATTTCAATTATAAATGTTTTTGTTATATGCATCTTATGAAATTAACTGAGCTATGAATTACCTACTGAGCGTTGGCTCATTCCACGTTTGAAATGTTTTTAATGAGAGAAGTGATAGCTGCACGACGACCATACACTTATCATCGTAGGGGACCTCAGGATGAAAGGTTCCTTGTTATGATTTCAGTTTGAGTCTTTGAGTTTATTTCTGTGTAGTTTGTGAGTTTAAGTTTGAGTTTGGAGTTTAGGTAATTGTGAGAGGTTAAGTAATGTTGATGAGTTTGAAAGTTTTAGTAGTCATGTGTGATGATCAGTATGAATCTCTCTTTTATTTGATGGTGTTTAGTGACTCT